ATCCTCGCCTCCTAGTATTCATGCCTGTGGGTAGTCTTCTTCCATGCTGAGTGGGGCTTACCTGTGTAGCCAATAGGATGTTACAGAAATGTTGGTATGTGACTTCTGATGCTACTCTATAAAAGACATAGCTCACTCTAGGGGAAGCCAGCTGCCATGTTGTGAGGACACTCAAGCAGCTGTAGAGAGAGGGCCACATAATGAGGACATATTTCTGCCAACAGCCAGCACTAACTTGCCAGCCACGTGAGCTGAGCAAGCCACCGTGCAAGCAGATCTTCCAGCTTTAGTCAAGTCTTCAGGTGACTGCAGTCCTGGCTAACATCTTGAACCACCCAAGCTTTTCCTGATGCACAGAAACTATGAAGGTTAATGCATATTTTCAGCTACTAAGTTTTCTGTTAATTTGATATGCAGCAATGAACAACTAATACAGATGCAGTGAGAAGAACATAGCAGCATCGCTTCTGTGATATTCCTGCCAGAGATACATAACCTGAATCTGGTCCTAATGAAATATAAAACAAACACTGATTGAGAGGCATCTTGCCAAATAACTGGACTATAATCTTCAACAGAGTCAAGGTCATAAAAGTTAAGGACAGACCAAGAAACTGCCTGGAAGTAAAGGAGACTAGAAACATGGCAACTATTGATGCAACGCCTGATTCTGAACTGGATTCTTTAGCTTATAAAGGTTATTTTTGGGACAATTGGCAGAGTTTGGAGCCTGGGTAAAGGAGACTAGAAACATGGCAACTATTGATGCAACGCCTGATTGTGAACTGGATTCTTTAGCTTATAAAGGTTATTTTTGGGACAATTGGCAGAGTTTGGAGCCTGATGATTAGATGGTAGTAATGTGTCAATGTGCTTTTTTTAATTTTGATGGTTGTATTGAGGTTATGTAGTGGAATGTTCTTGCTTTTAGGAAATCACACTGAAGTATTCAGAGGTAATGAAGCATCAGGTCAGTAACTCTCTCAAATGGTTACAGAAAAAAGTTATTTGTACTGTACTTGCAACATTTCTCTAAATTTGAGATTGTTTAAAAAATTTTCTCAGTTATGCAAAAAGAAAAAAATAGTACGTCATAGAACATGCTCTTGGCTATAATGATAGACCCATATTGTACTCTTTTGAGGGGATTAAAATATTCTGGGTTTTCTAAGTATATATATATATATATATTTTTTTTACCAGTCTCCTATTGATGGGCTTTTTAATTGCTCCCAGTTCTTTGTTATTATGTTTTTTGAGGGGATTAAAATATTCTGGGTTTTCTAAGTATATATATATATATATTTTTTTTTTACCAGTCTCCTATTGATGGGCTTTTTAATTGCTCCCAGTTCTTTGTTATTATGAATGATGCTAGTAAATGTCCTTATAAACATATTTGTGCCTTGTTCAGTTTTTGTCCAAGAATAAATCCCCAGAAATCAAACTTGCTATGTGAATGGATATGCATCCTTTAATCAGTTTAATCATAAGTCATTCTAGGAAACCGCAGGAAATCTCTCTAAAGAAAAATGAAATTTACAAGTTGGTTGTTATTTTTATTTGTTTTTTTCCCTACTAAAAAGTAATTTCTGTGAGAGTGGGAACTTTATTTTAATTATCACCATCCCCAGCATTCACATAGTCCCAGACACTCAGTATATATTTGTTGCAACAACAATAATAGCAAACATTCATTATGTGCCCAGCACTGTTCTAAGGATATTAATTTAGTTTTTCTTGGCAACAGCCATATGAGGCAGGTAGTATGATTATTACCATTTTGCAGATGAAGAAAATGAGGCCCAGAGAGGCTAGATTAGTACATAGTGGAGCCAGGAGTCAGGCAGTTTTCCTTCAGTTTTCAAGTAGCCACTATACCGGTTCTAAATCAATGAATCAACAAATGAATGGCTAATATATTTATTTGATTATTTGACCAATTATGAATTTCAGCTATCTTTTTGGTTTTTTAAAGAAATAAAAATCAGAGACAATGGACTGCCTACATTGTAAGAGCCAAATTAGTTTTATGGTCCTCTGGACTAGGCTGTTCTTACTGTCTAATAATACTGCTCCTGGTATAGTTTATATAGGTATAAACTATACATCATACTTACCTGAAGAATTTGTGATTATGTAAATATAACCATAAATTTTGTTTGTATTACAAATAAAATAGTGAGTCTGGGCCTGCACCTTGAGTCTAGGAGGCAGAACTTTTATTATTTGTTTTTTAAATGTATACTCTGTGCTCCTTTGCCCCTGCCATTCACTATACCTGGAATGCCCATTGTCTACTTCCCACATTGGAAACTCTAACCGTCCTCCAAGGTCCCTCTCAATAGCTGCTACTTCCATTGAAGATTGTTTTTACCCTCTCATTTTTCTTGCCATTCTCTTGAAAGTTCCTTCCTTCCTCAAAATTCCCTGCTACCGTCTTGTAGTATAGTACTTTTATAGGAATACAATATTCTAAACATACCTTATTTTAATTTGTAAAGTTCTCATCTCCCTTAATAGATTATATCTCTTAGTTTTCTTTATCTTATAAAACCTCAATATGTATTACAATATTTTGCACAGAGTATGAAATTAATTATGTTTTTTGGATGAATGAATGAATGATCTCAGGGAAATATATTTTGAATTTTTAAAATCATAGATAATAAGATTTGAACATCATATGTTCCACATTACCAGGAATTATAAAATAATAAATCAAGTGATTAGACATGGGTTTTTAATGTAATGATTTGTATTTTGTCTATAGTTTAAAAGGCATCAAGAAACAAGCATATATCATAAGAGTGGGTTCATTATTGCAAGAGTGGGTTTGCTATAAAGCAACTTCTGCTCTTTATCTATCTCTACCTTTATCTCTGTCTCTTGCCCTTCCAGCTTCCACCTTCTGCCATGGGGTGACACAGTAAGAAGGTGCTTGCCAGAAGCTGGCATCATGCCCTTGAACTTCCCAGCCTCTGCAACTATGAGCCAATAAATTTCTGTTCTTTATAAAAAAGAAAAAAAAAAGGAACAGCATAATTAGCTTTTATTTCTATAAGACCCTTTGTTCTGTTTATGGCTCAAATATCAACTTTGCTTCTACCCACAATTTTAATTCCCTTTTCTTTAAGTGGATGGTTTAGGGACATCAAAGGTAATAAAATCAATCAAAGAGATAAGTGAATTTTTTTTTTTTCAAAGGCTGGTACTTAAGGGTGTATTCCTCTTAGAGAATTTTAATACTAAATTTGTTTTTGAGAGTTTGTAAAATACCAGATCTCCTTGCCAACTGGAAGAAGGACTGTCCTTGAATCCCGTTCTGCATGAAATAATAAAATAAAATCGCTTTTTCACATAAGTATTTTTAAAAAACGAACTTTGGGGAATGTTAAGCACTGTCATTTGACAGTATTATAGCCTTCAGGCCAGTTGTTTCTCTTCCCCTCAAGGAGTTCTTTCCTTTACTCATAGGATAAGGACAACACTGAAGGGTTTTATTGCTGAAAGCTCAAGCAGCAAGCCAAAGAAGTTCAAACAAATATTACCAGTCTTTTAAAAATGTCATTGCTCATGTAAATTAACTGTGGTCTTTGGGTGCTGGTGAGCCTCAAGAATCCTTGAATTGGTTGGATATTGAATCATGTTTTATTTATATTTGGTATACGGTATGTTTCTGCTATCTAGAAAACAGTGACCATGGAGAATCTCATTTAATTTAAGGTGAATTAGTGCTTTTTTGTTTGTTTTGGCTCTGGGTGTTTTTTTTAGATTAGCTTCACTATTTTGTGATTTCCAGAGGATGATTTAGAGATTCGTGTATTACTGTGGAGTACTTCTATATGATCTCACTGATTTTGTTTTTTACCGTTACTTATCTGGCCAGTAGATTTATTTGAGATTCTCCAAATCATATTTATAATTATTGATTAAAATAAAACTTTAGAAATCTTTTTCTTTGGAGGTATTTTTATATTGTGAACGATACATTTCTAATTAATGCCTTCTGACTAAAATTTGCAGGTACAATACATAATCCGAACTATGTTCAGAATAACAGTAAAGTCAAAACATGAATATTTTAAAATTTAGCCTATTTGAGTCCTCTTCATAAAACATTGAGAGTTACACTAGTTCCCCGTTGTCTCTCGTTTATATTAATGTGAAGTTCTTGATCATAGCCTTCGTAGACAAAATTCATTTTGGGGCGAACTGAGATTCTCTCTACTGTTTCTAATTGTGTTGTAAATCTCCAAACTTTAGGAACGATTATCTTTTGGGAAGCATGCCTTTTAAGTAAGAAATTATTACTTCGTATATTAGATGCAGGATTTTTAAATGGGCATTTCTATTTCGTATATTATGTTAGCTATAGAGTTTTGGTTTGTTTTAAAATAATTCTGAGAACTTCAGCAATTACTCGGGAGTTCTTGGCAGGGGGTGTCTTTCTCCTTAGATCTGTAGCTCTGTGATGTATGTATATGAACATGCCTTTGTTCTCAGTCTTTTTCTTTCTGATGACTGTTGCATCCAAGCGCTTTGTCTTTGTTTCTTTCTCTCTTTCTCTCTCTTTCCCCCTTGTGCCTTTGCCTGTCATTTGTGTGGATAACTTTGTTTACATTCAGCAGCCGTATTAAGTGCATTTTTGGTGACATAAGGGAGTGACAGGGGAAGTTAAGGAGAAGAAATCCGGAGAGTGGGGTGGATGTGGGGGGGGGGGGGAGAGGGGGGGGGGGGGGGGGAAGAAGAAAAGAAAGGAGTGGGTGTGAGGGAGGAAGAGCAGGCAAAAGGCAGAACAGGGGCTACGCTCTGGGGTTTGTGAAATTGAGGGCTGGTGGGGGGCGGGGGGGAGATCAACAGACCAGCATTTTCCCTAGGCTTGGGCGCAAGCTTGTGAAACTACTAATGTACTAAAGAACCTCAGCTGGGATTTGCTGAGGACAAATGCTGTCATGTGTTAGTCATCCATTATCTGCTTCTATTTTTGCAGGTTCTGAATGATGACGGACGCGGATTTGTGTGATATCCCTCACAGTCCCTGTCATTCCGGAGTGATAAGGGACCCGCAAATCTAGCCCCAGCACCAGAGCAAAGCAGCAGCTCTGGAGGGAGGAAAGCTTCCGCTTGCGGACAGGACAGAAGTCCCGCCTGCCCACGGCTTTCTGCCTGCGGCTCGTGACCGAGACACCTCGCCCGGTCCAGCTCGCTGCCCTCGCCGGCAGATGGTGTGTGGCCGCCGCAGGACGCCCGCCGCGCCCCGGCCATGAAGTAGCGGCTGCTGGCGGCGCCGCTGCCCGACCGCCGGCCCCAGCCTCGCGCTGCGCCGCCCGCCCCTCTCCCGGCGGGGCCAGAGCGGCGTGGACATGGCTGGCCGTGCTCCCAGCCTGCTACTTCTGCTCCTTGTTTTCCAAAGCAGCTGTTTGGGTTTCAGAAGCCCACTTTCTGTCTTTAAGAGGTGGGTGTTTATTGGTTTTTTTTTTTTTTTTTAATCAGGCGAAATGTTGTTTGGGTGATTTCTATGCATGCTATTTAGAAATGTAATCACTTTTAAGAACCAGAGTGTTGGCGAAAGGTTAATTTTCTTTGCTGAAACGACTTGGAATTTTAGCACAATAAGTTCTTGTAAAGTCCCCCTTGCAGAAAAAGCCCACTGTATGTCGCCAAGCTGTCCTGGCTTTCAAAACTCCAATTAGAAGTTGTGATTTCCAGTACTAATCACTCCCTCTTGGAGACATTTCAGAAACTACAGTATAGACTCTTAGACTTCAATGCCTTCTTGTTGATAACAGGTCGAAGAATAAAATATCAAGATAGAACAGTGGTGAGGAGAAGCAGATCATGGACTGGAATAGCTCACAAGGAAACATTGAGCTGTATACTCACGCCTCATAATTACCATATTAAATATTTATGCACTTGTATATTTGTAATTCACATCGCAGTCTTTTATTTCCTCCTCATGCAACTCTGCCTCCTAGCAAGATTATGGCTGGGGTTTTTTTTGTTTGTTTGTTTCTGACTACTGGACACTCAAAATAGTTACAAAAATTTTTACTGGGTTATAGTTGATTTTTCTGCCATTAGAAAATCAGCATGCTTGTGATAATTTCTAAGGTATCAGTACTGTATCTTTATTAACTAGGAACAGATATGTATTTTGACATCCTTTTATTGAATTGAGTTTTAAATGGAGCCTGCTTGGTTGCTTTGATTATATCTTGTTTACAATACTGTATCTTTATTAACTAGGAACAGATATGTATTTTGACAAGCTTTTATTGAATTGAGTTTTAAATGGAGCCTGCTTGGTTGCTTTGATTATATCTTGTTTACAAATTGGGTATAGTTTGTTCTTGGACTATAAAATACAATTCTGAGTATGTTTAAGAGTATTATATAGTCATCGCATCTTTATAGTTTTCGTTGGGTCTAAATCAATAATCTTTAACCTTAAAGTCAGAGAATTCCTTCCCCCCCCCTTCTTTTGTTGAGTTTAGATTCCATTATGTTTAAGAATATTGAAATTGTCTCCTTTCTTTAAGGTTTAAAGAAAATACCAGATCATTTTCCAATGAATGTCTTGGTACCACCAGACCAGTAATTCCTATCGATTCATCAGATTTTGCATTAGATATTCGCATGCCTGGGGTTACACCTAAGCAGGTGAGAGGAATCCTATATTTCTTTATTTAAATTTGTTCTGTATACCATCTATGATTAAAGCAAGGAAACTGTATATACAGCTCTAGTAACTTCTTTAGAAGTCGGCATTTGCTTACTTTTACTGAGACTCCTCAGATAGGATTCAAATAATTTAATATTATAAGAGGAGTAAATCTTTCAATTAGATTTTGTTTTTAAAATTTTATTCCTGTTGTATCTTGTGGTTTGAAATGGAACCTTGAAAATTTAAGTTTGAGTTTGTCCATAGAGTAATAGCCTCGGAAATGCAGCACGTAAGTATGCATTAAAATACAGATGAGCAAACTAGCATCTACTTTGTTTAAATACCTTTTTATCACATCCACAAATTGAGAAATAAAAATGTGTTTGCTGCCAAGAATTGAAAAACAAAACATTCCACTTTAAAAAGTTAAGAAAACTGTTCATACAGGTGGCTGATTGAGTTTTCTTTAGCCTGACTTGCTTGTTATCAGAGGTATATTTTGAAGAAATAATGGCAAAGCTCATACAAATGTGACCTATAGAGCATTTTGAGTAGAACTAGGTTGTTGCTAATGCTTTCCCTATTTTAGGTACACACGAGAAGCTCAAACCCACTGATGTTATGTGTGCAAGGGGCTTCATTAAGTATAAAAAGGCCAGAATTAATTATGTTTTGCCGCCCAGGCAGGGATTTATGTGTGTCATTAAAAGATAGTCCTCTCCTTTTGAAGGGCTGCAGAGACATGGGAAGACCTGATGTTGTAGAGCTGCAGTGCCTGATGACTCATTGTTGCAGATAACATTCTTTTTTTTTTTTTTTTGAACTGGGAAAATAAAAGAATTCTACTTATTGGATTATTGGAAAGAATTCCCTTTGAAATTTGTTGCTTTGCTTCACACCGGGCACCATTTTGTTGCTTTGCCTCACACAGATTTGTCACCTCTCTTCCCCTGGGTGATGGAGATGCAAAAAGGATTACTCAAAGCCCATCTCTTCTGAGCAGTGAGACAGCCCAAAGGGGTTAACTTCCTGGAACCCTTAAGAGAGAGGCATTCCTCCTTTGGGAAATTAACCACAAGCTGGGGTTCTCTCCCCATATTTATTCTCCAGACCAGGAAGTTACAGAAAAGGAACATAAGTGGAGTTAGCCATATAGTTTAACAATAGAAGCTGGTAACATCAGTGAAATAACAAAGTGACATTCTGTAATGCAATTTGCAAAGGGTTAAGTTGATCCATCAATGAAAGCTTGTTCTTAGCAAACATTTTCTTTCCCTACATCAGTTTCCTTAGTATGTTTATATAACAATCAAGTAACTTGTCTGTCCTTAAGCCAGCAACTTTGATGTGTTACAATTCTAAATCTATACCAAAGACTTTAGCATGGAGAAGGTTTCCTGTCTTTTGCAAAGTTAACATTTCTATATGTAATTTCAAAAGGTTAGGTTAAACCTGAAACTACAGGGCTTTGGAAACTAGGCCCTGTGAAATATGTTTGCTTTATAAATGTTAGTATACTTCACAGAAATTGACATCTGGAAGCTTTACAAAATTCACATGGGCCTTTGTCTTAGGGACTAAGGATTGACATTCATTTATTCAAAGACTGTGTATGATATAATTATTTATAAGTAACTACTTTTACCACTGTTAAAATGACCCTCACCCCCTTCCTATCCCCAGAAGACCATGCAGATTTCTTAGGGACTAAGGATTGACATTCATTTATTCAAAGACTGTGTATGATATAATTATTTATAAGTAGCTACTTTTACCACTGTTAAAATGACCCTCACCCCCTTCCTATCCCCAGAAGACCATGCAGATGACTTTTCTGTGCATTCTGTTGTTACTGTCCCAGCTTTTAATTGCATAAGCTCCTTATTTAGAGGAGCTTCACAAGTTGCTCACTTGTGAAGTGTGCCTGTTCTTGTCTCTTTTCACTTTTAAAAGTGAGTTTACCCCTATATTTGCTTAAACTGAGTTTATATTACTTTTTTTAAAGTATCCTCTAATTGGTCTTTAAGCACTCTTTTCCCACAAAAGATAGTCATTTGTTGTGGTTCATATTATTCTGATTTTTTTTTTCTTTTCATTATTTAAGAGTAATAACATTTAAATTATTTAACTATAATAATAATGGGCACTGTGTTGGGGTCAGTAATTTAAGAAAGAGTTTCTAGAGGAATTGATTGCAAAAGAATGGAGAGAAGCTCCATTTTCATAAAATGAAAGTGTTTATTCATTTTTTTAAATGATTATCAAAATAACTTCATGGAAAAAAGAGCGTACATTATTTAAATTACTGATTTTTGTTTGGCACTATTTGTATTCACTTTTGTCTCATGCAGTAGTCATTTGCTGATTGTCTTCCCAGTAAGGAGCTGAATGCCACCTTGCTCTTTCTCTGAGACCATGTAGTTTCCAGGAGTTGTCTACCCAGAGACAGACACTCCAGAGGCCCAGCACATGGACAAGGATCAGCAAATGACTGTATCCCACCTACCCCTCCACAATGTGTGGAAGGTGTGTAACCTAGACCAGCCCAATCAAATCTTAGGACTTTTGCTGGGAATGCATTTTTCTGTTCCTGAGAGCAATAGGCATGTAGTCCTAGGGTCTGCTGGGTTAATGAGGGAGCCATGCCAAGAATAAAACTAATTCAAGAAGGTCATGCAGAGACTGAAAGAATGTAGGTTCATGGTGACATCACTACTTGTAGAATTTTCAGTTATGTGAGCTTTTCTTGTTTCAACCAGGTTGAGTTGGTTTCTATCTTACTTGCAATTTAAACTACCTAACTAGGTAAATGATTCAGTTACTCAGCCTGGTCAGCTCAGAACTCATTGTTGAATATTTCTTCCACTTTTCCTCATCACTCTTTATTGACTGCTTGCCTTGAGTATTTGACTTGGTCCAATTGACATACAGGTCATACCCCTTGTGAATTTTCATGAGAATGATAGTTAGACTCTCTATTTAATATACCTAGGGGTGGATAGAGAACCCCCTCGACCTCTTTTCTCCTGAACTTGGTGTTCTTGGTGAGGAACCCAGAGCTGTGATATCATGAGTACTTTTGTTGGAGAAAGTAGACTTTTCTTAATATGCAGACAAAACTAGATTTAGATTTAATACAAGTCCTTAAGAGGAAACGAGATAAAAGGCAATAAAGAAAAAGAGGATAAGTATTAGAGGGAAGAAACAAAAGGTGGAAGATAAATAAGAGTTGACTATAAAAAAAAAATGACCAAGAAAATAGAACAATCAAGAACAAAAATAAAAGGAAAAAAGTCAGGACTAACTAGAATGTGAAGACCAGAACATATAAAAAATCATATAAGAAAAAGAGGAGTAAGAAAAGTATAAAACCAAGGAAAGACATTGAGGAGTTTATATATATATATATGTTTTTTTTTTAAAGGTAGAGGATTAAGAAGAGCAACAAAATTTAAAAAGAGAAGGAAAGGAGGAGCAAATATATATATTTTTTTTTTAAAGGTAGAGGATTAAGAAGAGCAACAAAATTTAAAAAGAGAAGGAAAGGAGGAGCAAATATATATATTTTTTTTTTAAAGGTAGAGGATTAAGAAGAGCAACAAAATTTAAAAAGAGAAGGAAAGGAGGAGCAAAAACTTGAGTTGTCAGTTGAGGCAGACTGGGTTGGTTAAAGAAATGTATTCATTCAACAGACTTTTTTAATAAAAATAAACCTTAAGTTTTGACAGTATTGAAAGTTACATCAGTAAATCTGATGTAAATCCTTTCCTTGGGAAACTTGAGATTGTTAGGTAAGCTTGGATAGAGAAACAAGCAGGTGTAGAATAGAGGTGGAGAGAACCTTAGACATAATACAGAGACTACAATTAACTGATATTACACATGGAATACAAACCTAGATTAGTGTCTTATCAAAGGATACCCAGTCATGTGAGGCCTCTGAGTTGCAGTCCATCCTGCTGCACCACAGGACTTCAGAGTGGCAATTAAAAATTACTTCCATTAAACCAGATTTGGAGAGTATAGGACAAGTAGATTGTCTGTTGCAATATCAATTTTATAACCAAAATGAGCTCACTGTTTCTCTTCTCTGACTTGAAAAATTTGGAAATAATTTTCATTCTCTTTTACTAATTTCCTATTAATTGGTATTTCTTCAGGCTTTAGAAAGATAAGAGAGGAGAGCAGGTGGCTCTTAAAAAGTCTAGCCTGGAGGCAAAGTACGGATCTGGTGTTCAATGGCACTGGCTCCAAATCTAGCATAGCCGTGAAGTAGTGATACCTAGAGATTCCTCTTTTAGCACTTTTTCTTTCTCGTTTGATTCCCTTTTCTTACCCAGAATCTTGTGGGGTTTTGCTGTCACCAACTCTCATGTCAGCAAACAGAGTAACTTGATAAACTGCCAGTTCGTGATCATAGTAAGGTGTTATCATCAATTTGATGTGTTAACTATCCCATGGGTATTTGATTTGAAAATAAAGTAAATGAAGATATAATGACAGTGATTCTACATAAAGTTTATTGTCCAAATCTAACTCAAATCCAGGGGTTAGCACAAAAGCCAGGCTCTTGCAGTTTTAACTCAGGTAGGTTTCTTAACCAGCTAGCCCTTCTCTGTCATCTGTAGAAAAGGAAATAATAGTTTAACTACCCGGGTTGTTCTAAGGACCAAGTGAGCTAATACCCTAGCATGTTCAGTTGCCCTGCACCTGCTGGTTCTCAGAAAATGTGCACCGGTAATGTTATTGTTACTGTGTGTTGAGAGAAATGTGAATGAGCCCTAAGAGGAGAAAGAATTTGTTAACCCTTATGCTTTCAGTAATGATTTCATGGAGAAGGTGAGATATTTCAATAATTTTGAAGGAAAGGAAAGGTAGCCAAATGAAGAAAAATAGAAAGTACAAACCTAGGCAAGAAAAACCTGAACAAAATGAGGAAGTAAATCCTTTAGTGTACTTATTCCTAAGTAGTTATTTTCATTAAAAATGGCCTATG